CCCACATAAGTTCAACAGTTCACATTGTCAGTTATGAAAATCCTGCTGATTAAAGCCAAAGTTAGGAATTGAGTGGAAACTCAACAAATATTATAAGCATAACTCTTGTCACCTGCCCTCTAACAAGTCATTCTTCTCACTGTTTTGAATGCTTTTACTTCAATTGTCACAAACAGTAGCACATAAACTGACAGAGCTAGATCTGACTGTTCCAGCAACTTCAAATTGGGATGATAACATTTATTTGACAATTTTGGTGATGTTACTACTGTATTACTCTCAGTAAATACCACTTATAGCATTAATAATTATGCCTTACAAAAATATAAGGTAGCAAAATACAAATGAGTGCACACACATGAGAAATAGGAACTATAAAACTTCACAATTAGGCCATAAAACAGGCTAAAGGAGCACATAACAGAGGGATCATGTTTACTTATCTTGCCGGGTCCACAAGGGGTGTGATTGCAAAGGCAAGAACTTCCCACACCATACCTCTATCCACCCCCATCCAGGAGCCTCGAGTTATTTGTCTAACTTTCTCTCGGGAGGACAGACTGCCCAAGGTAGCTTCTTTTGTTTAGAAATCCCCAGAAAAGCTATGGGATATGGGAGGACTGTAAGCCAGGCAGCCAATCAGATGTCAAAGTCAAAGATCAATCACTCCAGAGGAAGTGTGAAGGATCTCCTCTCATGGAACAAGAACTTGAATGGGGCAGCAGTGACTCCAAGATTAAAAGACCCCCTGCTTCTCACCTGTGCGGACTCCATGCCTGGATCCCCTCCCACAACAGTGTGGGAGTTTGTTCTCTCTCTCTTTCTCTCTCTCTCTCTCTCTCTTCCTCTTCTTCTCTCTTTCTAACTCTGCCTAATAAATCGCTTTTCTACAAAACTCTTTGGGTCTGATATTTATTTGAATGAGCCCACCATACCTCTAGGGCCTCTTCCCTCATTCCTGGGGCAGGACGGCTAAGAACCTGCAACACCGAGTTACATAACCATAGAGATGTGGGAAAACTTAAGGAATATTAATATAGTGTAACTTTTCCTCCACTACGCAATAATGGTTTATGAATAATATGAGAAGACTTCTAGTTTGGCCAGCAACATTTAGCATCTAAATTTAGAGGGAAAAAAAAACAAGCAAACAAATTTTTTCCAAGTAGAATTGGTTAAAATTTCCAGACAATAACGTTAATGCCAATAACCTTGCTTGCTTCTTTGTTTGACAATCAATATCATCTACTGAGGAACTGTGCTGCCCCTTTTCCTTTAAAAGTTGCCCTATGTCTTTCTGACACCTGACTCGGGCTATTCATGTTATATCTTCTCCCAGGCTCTGCATTCTGCATTGTGCTTTCTTTAATAAGCAGCTGCTATTTGAAGTAGAATGGTTTGAACTGCAGAGGAATGTGCGGGGCAATACTGAAGCTTTTTAAATGTTAAGACTTCCTTTGGCATGATCTCAGCTCACTGCAACCACCACCTCCCAGATTCAAGTGATTCTCCAGCCTCAGCCTCCCAACCAGCTATGATTGCTGGTGTGTGTCACTATGCCCAGCTAATTTATTAGTAGAAGCAGTAGTCCAGACGGGGTTCATTATGTTGGCCAGGCTGGTCTTGTACTCCTGACCTCAGGTGATCCACTTGCCTCGGCCTCCCAAGATGTTGGGATCACAGGCATAAGCCACTGTGCCCAGCCAGAATTTCCTTATTTTTGTAGGGGAGATTTCTAGGAGGCTAGTAATAGACAAAGTCATACATATATAGTAGGACTGCTAATACAATTAGAAATAATTCATTTTTTTAAGGATGAGACACTATTACAAAATTTTAAATTAACTTGCTAACCTATGACAACCAAAGAGTCACCATCACTGGCTAAGCAGTTGCTATGCCAGTCAAAACACTGTTGTTTTAATTTTGTAACTTTTTCACTCCCTTTAGTAACACAGCAAGGACATAACAGACTCAAACACAAGCCTGTTGGATGACACAACTCACACACAGTCCACTATTACATTGCCATGAATGTACATCCTGTATGTAGACAAATCTATTATTCTCTGCTCTCTCAAACTCTTGTTTTGAGGAGCTTTTGTGTTTATTTTTTGTTTGTTTGTTTTTTTGTTTTGAAGAGGCACCCTCTCATAATATAACTCCTGTCCAGGCATGAAGAATGCCCTTTCGGGTTACATTTCTGAGTCATCACTATTATTTTCTGACCATTGTTTATAACAAATTATGAAGAACAAGTATTGTCTAGATCCATTTTTTTTTCCTTTGGAAGATATTTTAATGTTACTTATATATCTATAGTAACTTATGCTTTGCTAACCATTAAGCAACAAGGTATTAGAGCATTTGCCTTGAGAAGATGGAGCAAATATATAAAATATTACTGTCATATGACATATGTGTACAATTCTACTTTATAAGGGTATATAAAATAAATATTGCTAGAAGCAAAAAAATAATAATTACGATAAAATGGAATATTTAAGTATATTTATTGAGTGTAGTACTGATTCTAAACATTTAGGCTATGTCTGGTCAATACAAAGTGAAGGCCAGATTGGTTTTCATCCAGGCTCTATGATCAAAGAAATAGCGAATATAAATAATTTGATTCCTCTAGATAAAGGTCTTCAAAGTTTTCAAAATTACACTCTGTAGTAATGACATTAGTCTGTTATTAAGCCATCTAAATGCTCAACATTAATCTACTGTTTAAATATGTTCCACCAATCCTTTTACTTAACTAAGCAAATAGCAAATTTATTTATTCATTCAACATTAGCTAATAGAAAAATTATTTATGTCTTCATTATTTATTGAGTGCCTGTCTTATGTATTTTATGGAAAATGAAGAAGCAGAATACATTATTGCTAAATTTATGAGTTTGATAGTCCATTAGAGAATAAAAGAAATACATACAAAAGTAATTTAATTACAGTATAGAAGCCATTAGATCTAAGTAACAGGCAAATGATAGAGATGAAGAACCTAGATTGAAAAGAGTGGACAAAGTGGGTAAGAATAGCCACAAAAATCTCTGTTTAGAAGATAAGAGAAGATCAAGAATAAAGAGTAAGGGTACAGAATCCATGATGAGAATTTATTGAATATGGTGCCAAGAATAAGTTATTCATGGCTAACTACTGGGATGGGTCTGTGCAGAGGGGTGAGAGGATATATATTAGAAATGATGAAAAATTTTATCATAATCGTCAAATAATCTGTAAGAAATTCTTTTAACATCCCATGTTCCCTGGTATTTTCAACTCAATACAACCAAGTAACTACAGATGAGACCTACCAGAATTCCTTCCTGATATTTGGAAGGAATTAAATATTTGTTACAATATAGATACTTTAATGACACCTACTCAGCTAGCTCAGTAGGTATCATTAATGTATCTATATCACAAAAGAGAAAAAGAGATCCTTGCATTTGCTGACCTAAAACTCTATTGGGTCTGACCACAGAGGCATGCAAGATAAAGAGTGGGGACGTTTCCCATAGGACGCAATATCTTGATAGATAAGTTTCAGTATTAGTAGAGTGCTATCATGCTAGATAACCAGGGTACAGAATGGGATATGGAGATCAAATAGATTCCGGTAAAGTTTTACCTTGAGAAAATGATATCTTTGACTCTTGGAAAGTGAAGTACATAGATAGGTTAACCACATTTTCAGTTAATAAGTGCTATACTGTCTCTTGAGTCATAGATGGTAATTTATATTTTACTTCAGAAAAGTCTCCTAGTGATTTATAATGCATGTCTATGTTATTTAAATGATGTAAAAAGTCACTTGAGGTGAATCCCAAAATTTTTAAAATAATTCTCTAAAAATATCTACACATTGTCAATTACTCAGCTTAAATATACACTTCTACAAATAAATAACACTCTCATCACATTTAAAACATAAACATCATCGTCATTAATTAAATGCAATATACAATTCCTTTTATAATATGCTATGCTGCTGCTATTAGGAATAATGGAGTAAATATTTTAAGTAATTCTGTTACTAGTCTGAGATATTCCCGGAAAAAAATAGACTATACTCTTGCTATTCTTACCCGGCTTGCAGTCAAAATCTTACATTATTACTTAATAAAATGTAAGTATCTCCAAAAAAAAAAATACAGAAAAAAAAAATGTTGGGTCTTCTTTCTTCTACCTGAAGTATTATTTCATCATGTAGTTTGTCAAAAATGGCACAAGTTTAATATTCCAAAACCTTAAAAAGCAAACAGACTTTGTCAAATGGCTTTTAAGGAGCTTAGGATATCTGCTAATATTACTTTATCGATAACTTTGTCCCTAAAGTCCAACTTATCATGGACAACAGCCACTCCCTCAAACCTCTTTCCTATTCCTTTCAAGACACAAGTCTTCCTGTCACTCCTTCCTAATCTTCATCTGCCTTTCCCTGCCCTTTAATCTTGCTGCACCATCTTTTCAAGGAGTTCATGTTGCCCTATCTTATGGAAATCAATTTTCTTAATTGCTTCTTACATTTCTCTGCTCTATGTATCACAAAATGAACAAAACAGACAAAACAAGTATTCTCCTTAGGAAGTTGGAAGAAGAAAAAACTGAATACTTGAAATATTTTTTAATGTTCCAGCATATAAGCACATTAGAAAACAAAACGAAAAAATGTTCCTTGGACTTCACGTCATAAATCCTTTCTCCAGGTTTTCTCCTGAAAAATCTGTGTATCCAATCACAGTTTTTCAGAAGGAATACATCAATTCTTCCAAGTCTGTAATTTTTAATGCAACGTTAAAGCTAAATTTGAGTTGCAAGATTATGTGGGTAACTGAAATCACTCATTTAACAAAATCTAGAAATTTGGACATTTTATACTAGGAAAGGGCATGCATTTTTGTTAGTTACTCCTGATTTTTCACTTTTAATGTTACTTTATCTCCTCTCTTTAAATATTTGACAAAATATTAAATTAATTACAATCTTACCATTGTTGTTTCTTGAATGGATCCAAAACTGTTAATAAAAATGTTGACTACTACATCAACAGGAATGCCTATGAATAAAAATTAAGAATATATTTATTAACAGTAAAAATACTTGACTAGAATCATCATAGTTTTTTGTTTTATACATTTAATTATCATATTTTTTCCAATCCACATGGAATACAAAATCTATGGCTTCAGTATAACATGTTCATAATTCCTACTAACTTATTTTTCTAAATAGGGATCATAATACAAATAAAAAATGAGTTCAATTGTATTATAATGTTCTTTTTTTCAGGCAGAATTATGTCTTAAATTGTAAAGACTCTGGAAAATACATTTACCTTTAAATATTTTTTTAAATTGCCCTAATACATTTTTAAGAAACTACCAATTATTCTTTAAAAAATTATTTTAAAAACAGGGTTTAATTTTTCACATTTTTCTAATCAGTTCAAATTCTTACTTTAATAGGTAAAACAGTATTCAATAAATTTTACTTATAATTATTACATTTTAGCTTTTAATTCATGAAAATGCAAAGCTAATTGGACACATAATAAAGTCATTATAAAGATTTTTGCCTGACCTTTTGAAAAATAATTTGAAAGTTCACGGAGTGAGAACTAAGGTATAATGTTGCAAATTTCTTTCTATTTTTTTTGTTTTTCAACTCATTGTGGCTGCTGGTTGGGCTAACAAAGGGAAAATGTGAATTTAGCCTTTTAGCCACAGAACCACTAACTGATGAAAAACAGGTGGTGAATCAATATATGCTAGACATGTGACAACCCAGACCACGGCTGTTGTTGAAAGTAACTGAATAGGTCCTGGTAATGAACAAAAACCCATTTTTACAGCATAGTTGTATAACTTCGGTTGACTAGAAGCAGCTGCAGACCTTTTTTTTTTTTTCTTCCAAAGGCAAAAAGAAAAAAAAAAGAAAAGAAAAGAAACATCAAGGCTTATAATTTTAATCTGATCTACATTAATACCTGTCCTTAACCAGCAAGAAGGATTGTAGTTTTCCAGAGATTTTTTTCTCGCAGCTTTTTTCTAATTCATCAAAAGGACAAAAGAGGTCTATACAACTGTACAACCTGCTCGTGACTCATTTTATTGTAAGTATAGTTTTGGTTCATAAAAGACATGATAAATGGTAATATCTAACTGGAATAAAAATAATCTATGTTGTAGTCACTTTTATTCACAAAGTTAACATGCTTTTAAAAATCGTTCAGCCGTCGTTTTTTCAGCAAAGGAATAGAGAGAATATTCTAGTAATGTGAATACTAACAGAAAGTAAGAAAGAATCTAAATATACATCAGAACTGTTCTCTTTCCCTAAATGAGAAAATGATCCTTCTGCAAATTATAACTCTAGTGTCTGTGAATGAAAGCCAGATCTATTTCCAGAGCCTAAATTTTAAACCACTCATGTTAAGAATAGTACTTAGAAAACCCATTACAGAAGTTGGTCTATTAATTCTCAGTATATACTTTTTTGCATTTTTAAAAATAGGTAAGCCATAAAACAATTATAATTCATATTTTACTTATCTTTAAATAATTTTGGCATTAAATTGCTTTGAACCTAAGGACATTTTTGTTATATGTCACTTTGAAATCTTACTGTTTTGAATATCACAGAGCATATATTCATAAAATTAATTTTACATGTATATACTATATAGATATAAAATTAATTTTTAAACAATAAAAATGAAAATTTATGTGTGGGAGACAAACCTTTGAAGTTTGGTCTTATCCTGGGGTCATAACTGACCAATAACCTGTTCAAGATATTGCTAGTGGAGTTGGCAGGTACTCGGGCGAGGTCTTCCGCTGACTGCTGACTATAAGAGAGAGAAAAATCCTTATAAGCAGTTATAAATAGCAAACAACAGAAATGGGTAATATTCATTGGGAGGAAAGACTGCCTTTTTGAGACAAATCCACAACCATAGCATAGCTTTTTCAAAGGGAAATAGAGACTAGTACATATTGTTAAAAACCCAAAAGACATCGTTATTTAAAATATATATATATATATATTAACAATAATTTCACTAAATGGATGAAACATTGCTCTAAACACTCCACGTTATTTTCTATCAGGTAAAATTAAGCAGACCGCTTACTTGTTCTGAAGCAACCTGCCATCAAAATCTAGGCGAGTACAAAGGGAGTGCACACGTGAGAAAAAAACAGCAAAGAACATTTTTTGAACAATGTGTAATGTTAATCTGCCAACACAAAAATGATCTTACCATAGAATTCATAAAGCAATCATGCTGACATTTGTAAAATGATATTTCCCCAAGAAACACAATGAAGGGTCTCCTCACTCAGTTAAATATGGCAGCCTGGGAGGCAGAAAGGAACTGGTAAAAGATGATTCTCTATTATCAGATAAATGAAACAAGTAAAGTATACTATACAGAGCTGTAAGAGATAACTACCTATTTCTTTTCTGTATATGTGTGTCATCAACTCTTTATTAAGAAGAGGGAAATCTGTATTGTTTTGTTATTTTAGTTAACTTTGAATAATGGTAAGTGATAAAATTGGTGGTTGCTTAAAAGTCCTTTAAAAAGGCACTTTCTTGGAAGCCAAGGAAAATGTTTTGCTGTTTTTGTTTGGGTTTGGTTTATTTTGCCCCCCATAAAGTTTTATGCATAATATTTTTTCCCAAATACCTACATACACACGAAATCCATGACAATCACAAGGAAAAGTAAAACTATACTTGGAGCATCTAGCACAGCCTTTTCTGTATTGATACGGGACAAAGTCTCAATTTCATAAATTATATTAATTTACATGATGGAAACCTAGATGCAACAGGCTTGGCTTTGTATTGAAATCAAAACTCTTTCTTTATGTATTAGGCATTTCTGAGTTAATTATCATACAATCTGCTGATAAGAGGCAACCATTATAGGTGAGATATAACAGAAAGAAATTTATGAAATAATCTAATAATACTATGAATTGACACAGACAACCCTTTCAAATAGAAATTCAGTCAGAGTGCATAGCATTTTACAAAATGAAAATCAGTTAAACCTCCCAAGTGCAGAGATCATATGGATTTTTTAAAAATTGCTTCTTGTGGCTTTATTGGCTCCAATATCACAGCTTCATAAACTTGAGGGCTGGTAATTAGATTTTCCATTTCATTGCAGGTGAAACTATAACTTCCTTACAGCCAGTTGTCATCCTTTATCAAAAGATGGAAAACTCTAAAGAGAATGAGGGCATGTGGGAAAATTGGATATTAGGATGCAAATTAGTGTTCAAAGCTATCTACAAGTTTTCTAATTGAAAGGAAGAAAAATAATTGATTGATTATAAAATACACTTGGATCATTAAGGACTACTATTAATGTGTCTCTTCATATAAAATCCTTTACAAGTACATTCCTTCTAAACAATGAAAAGACAACATGAAGACAATTAACACTAAAATTTATAGTTTAGAACTTTCTGGCTGCTTTTTCTGCTTCTAGCTGTAGGCTGTGTTAGTCAAACTCAATTTTTAGCTCGTTATCTCACTACTAAATTTTGTCCTTCTTCCACAGATCAGTCCCCCTTCCTGGAATATTGTAATTTCCATTCTTTATTGTACTAATCTAAACCAAACCTGCCCTTTTAAAGCTCATCTTCTCTGTAATAGCTTGCCTCAAGCATGCAGCCTTACTCTAATGAACATGAACTAATAAATATATTATGTGGCAATGATTTTGTAGCTTTTCTTATCTATGGTTATATTATCAACTAGACAAAATGAAAACAGTATGATTATTGAGGGACTCATGGCTTCTACATATTTGTAGTTCCCTATTGTGTTTTTATAGTATTAAATACATATTGGTTCAAGTACTTCCCATCTGCCATCTCTTCTAGGTATATTTCAGCCTCATGTTGCCTGTGCTGTAAGCGGTAAGCAGTTCTACTCATCAATTCCAGAAGAAGTAGAGCATTTTGACCTGGGGTGCTCCCTTAGAAGAAATGACTTCCACCCTCAGAATCTTCCCAGAATTGACCACTGCTGAACTAATTATTGGCAAGGAAGAAGAAACATTCATAATTGGCTCAGATCAATATTCCGGTGTGGAATGAATATTGGAGAATCAACCATTATGTTCATTACGTTCTTTCATTTGATAGTCACATTCATGTGATTAAATTGAAGAGATAGTAACCACACAGAAACCTGTTTTTTAAGGGAGAGGATGAGGAAACAAAATGGTAGAAAGAGGTAAGTAAATGGACCTGTAGAGTACATGGTATATGAAGACACTAGGACACAGCAGGGTTAAGAGATTTTTCTAAGGTGGTAGGGCCAAGAATAAAACCTGTTCCATGGTAAGCCTGCCATAGTGTAAGTGAAATATTACCTGTCTTCTTATTACCATCCGTATACATACTGCTTTAGGGCATATATACTATACCTTGGGTACTATTCATCTTAATAAGCATAGTTAAAATTCATTAGAACTGAAAACATAAATTGGTCCTTTCTGTCAGCTCACTCTTCTACCATCTCCAAATGTTTTTGCATCTCTCCACAGTTAAAAGCAAATTCTTGTTTGTTAGCAGCAAAAACTCAACATTGCCAGACAAAATTCCCTCGAAAATCAAACAAGCAAACAAACAAACAAAAACACAGGGTATATACCAAATATGGTATGGCCCCTTTTCTTCCATTCTTATTTGTGTCAATATATATTTTCATGTCTCAGCCGGAGGTAACTTGGCATGAATGTTTAATCAACAGTTCACATTTCTTTGTATTAGAAATGCAGAGATATTTTAAAATGTAAATAAAATCCCATGTAGTTTACATTCACATGCAAGAACTCAGGATTTTTCCCACCTAAAAATGTAAAATCGTATTCTTAGCTTACCAATACTAAAATAACATTAGAATCCTGTCTACAGACTAAAATATATTTAAGAGATTAGATGGATGTAGTCACTTTCTTCTAAAGAGTTAAGACAATTTATATGTAACTTTTTTGTGTGTATGTTACTATGCATATATTTATAATTTAGAAAGTTAGTATTACTTAAACAAAATAAACAGAAAAAAGGAGAGTTAAATGATTTTAATTAGGTCACACACTTAATGTCTGCTTTGTTATTAAAGTCTTCTGAATCTCAGTCCAATGTTTTATGCATTTGACTATGCTATTTTGTTTTATTTCATGAAACCTATCAACAATTCCAGTATATTAAAAAGGAGGATTTATTTCTTGGAAATATGACATTAATTTAAGAAAATAACTTATTCTACTTGGGCAAAGTGATCAAATGACTAGAGAAAATAGAGTTTTATATCAAAAGTCCTTTTACAACCAGTTCTCTTTTGTTCACTTGCCTAAACTTGAACCAATGTCATTACTAGTATGTAAAGTTATGCAAGGAATGTGTCAGACTGTATAGCTGTATGATGTAATATTTTCCAGCACTAAAGGAAAAATCCAGAAATTTATTTCCAAAGGACGAAGTTCAGTTATCTATTAACTTTAGAACATTCTTATTTTTACATGACCCTTCAGTGACCATGGTGCACAGTATCACTTCAAAACAGGTGTGGATGAATATATTGCCTTAATCTTTTTGCTAAAACCAGAAATCTGAGTCTAAAGGAATTATTTTATTTCTCTGTAGAGCTATAAATGCAATGACAATTTGTCAGAGGCCTTCTCAGATCTGAATGTAGTATAAGTATAGGGCTGTACAGCTTTTGGCTGGACATGAACTTAAATACAAAGCCACAGACACAAGGGTAGAGTGAGACATATCATAAGTATTGGTTGTATCATTTCTCATGCTCTAAGGCAGTGATTCTTTGCCTCTTTGTTAGATAACAGATGTCTCTGAAAATCTGACAAAAACTCTATACTTCCCTAAAAAGAGTATACAAAGTTTCGCTTCTGAGGGTTCCTGGACCAGTGGACCACAGGTTAAGAAATTCTTCATGGAAACAGATGCAATCATCCTCCCTTCTACAGCAAGGAATTCTGACTCTGTAGGATATTTTGATTACTGTTAATTCTCCTTTTCAGACACAGCAAGATACAAGAAAACACAAGGTATCATGGGAGGAGGTTTTAGATGGAAGATTCCTTTCTGAATACTACACTAAAAGGACTCAGAAATTACATCAAAGAAAACAATACAACTGTAAATAGTGGCAACAGTGAGGTTATCAGTCATTATTTTAAAGCTGGTAAACTCATATAAACGGTAATGACAACAGAGGATTTCTTTAAAAAGAGCAGATATCTTACAGTAACATAAATTAAAGAAGCATTCAGAAAAACAAAAAAAGCACCACAATGGAAACATGTCAAAGGAAGGACACGAGAATCAACTGAGAGGGTTTCCAATGGCCAAGGCTGTAATGTTTTGAGCAACAATATAAAGTAGTATTGTATTATAATCCACAGTACAAAATAAAATTCCATGAGTCCATACAGATAAAAATACTAATGAATTATTAATTCATTATTAAATATAATAAATATGTTATATTTAAATATTATTAAATATATATTTATATATTAAATATAAATTATATATATATATAAAGATAAAAAATAATAATGAATAAACGGGGAAATATAGGCAAATCACTCATGAAGAATTCCAAATAATTGGTGTAGATCTTCTGCTTTCTAATTGGTGGAAAATAACTCCCCACTCCTTAGTGTGGGCTGTACATAGTGACTCCCTCCCAAAGAGTTTAGTCTGCAAAGCGGGGAAAGAGTAACTTTACTGTGGAGAAACTCCACAGGCATTCTCCTCAGCAGGTGATCAAGTTAACTTCAACCATGGTAAGTCA